TATCATTATGCAAAGAGCTATTCATTTCTTTGTGAAGAGAGAATGCTCTTAAAGGGAATCTGTTCAGAAATGAAGAAATGCAGCACTTCACCTGGTCTAGAGATGAAAGGTACAAAAGCTCTTCAGGAGCAAAGGCTGTTCATCAAAGAGAAGGAGTTCAGGCTGGAAAAAAATTAATGCCCTTCACTAACAAAAATGTAGGGATTAAGCGCATGCACAGTTTGATTGAAAACACATTCCTTGCGGTATGTTAGACTGAAAGGCAAACACAAGTACTAGAACCTGATATAGATGAGAAATTTGCAAAAGAGGAATTACAGAGGAATTAATGACAAAATATTTTGGTTTCTCAAATTTGCAAGTAAACACTGAAAGTTAATTGGAGAAGGAAGAAGTGAAAGAGAAAACAAAAAAAAATCCTCAAACCACTACAAATAAATAAAAATGGGGCTAGATAGTAGTCTTTTGCTGTTTAACTTCTAATAAGACTTAAAGTTTCAGTTCCACACAGCAGTCAAATGCCAATAGGTGAAATGCATTTATAATTTGTGATCTTGATAAAATTATGATACAGGCCACTTCCCATAACACCGAAAGAATTAAGACCCAAATACCTAAAAGTATTTTGGCTAATTTGCCATTGATATTTTAAGATTCACTGCTGTTCTCTGATCTAACTCTGTAAACATTTCAGCCCGTGAAGCTTCAGGCAGGGAGATTGCCAAACCAAAGTCAAACTCCAAAATTTACACCTGGCCCTTCTATAATTCTTAGATCTATACCAAATAATAGCTAAATCTTGGGTATAATCTCAGCCTGCCTGCCTGTGCACCAAAGAGGCCAGTAAAAGAAATTTATACCAGCTACTAGTGCTACATATATAACCTTTCAAAAGTGCAGAGGGGAGCGTATGTGGCCCAAAGTTTAGAATCCGACTAGCTGAGGGCGAAAGGCCGACGCCCCTCTGCTATTCCTGGCCAGCACCCTTCCGGAGTCTGATGGCCTCGGGCTGTGCTGGCTGCGGACTGGCGTACCTCGCTGATATAGGAGATGAACGGAACTGACCATTTCCCGGGGGTTAAACATCGGTTTAT